CGTGCAGATCCAGAGCAGGTAAAAAAACTGCAGCAGGTCCTATTTTACTTGCTCTGGACCTGCTCTGGAACGCATGCAAACACATCAAAAATGCATGCAAACGCCTGGAACGCACTGAAAGCCCATTTTAAACTAAAAAAAAAAAAAGAATTGTTTTTTTTTACCCAAAAACGGCCCGGAACACATCAAAAATGCGGCACAACCCACTGCACTGTGTGCAGAAACCCATGCAGATCTGCTCTGCATTTGGTGTGAACAATGCCTTAGACCGCTGCAGCTGAGGGGGAGAGAGGTTCCAGAGATCAGTCTAAGAGCACGGCGGCTCCAGGGACCAGTCTAAGAGCCAGGCGGCTCCAGGGACCAGTCTAAGAGCCAGGCGGCTCCAGGGACCAGTCTAAGAGCACGGTGGCTCCAGGGACCAGTCTAAGAGCACGGCGGCTCCAGGGACCTGTCTAAGAGCCAGGCGGATCCAGGGACCAGTCTAAGAGCACGGTGGCTCCAGGGACCAGTCTAAGAGCACGGCGGCTCCAGGGACCAGTCTAAGAGCCAGGCGGCTCCAGGGACCAGTCTAAGAGCCAGGCGGCTCCAGGGACCAGTCTAAGAGCCAGGCGGCTCCAGGGACCAGTCTAAGAGCCAGGCGGATCCAGGGACCAGTCTAAGAGCACGGTGGCTCCAGGGACCAGTCTAAGAGCACGGCGGCTCCAGGGACCAGTCTAAGAGCCAGGCGGCTCCAGGGACCAGTCTAAGAGCCAGGCGGCTCCAGGGACCAGTCTAAGAGCACGGCGGCTCCAAGAATCGGGTGAGTATAACGGCCCTGCAGTGGGCCATTAGCCAAACTGCACGGGTTAATAACCATTTTTCCCGGAGTTCTGCTTTAATGCCGCTTTGTATTCATAAAGACATTGTGGGGGAAGGAGGACTACACATGAAATGCACTGCAGAACATCCCGAAACTGGTCGTATGATGCTAGCTACCCACAGCTACTATGTTACATACTGATTCTGCCTCAAATGACTTATCACTCTATGATGAAAACACTGTTTCTGGAAGATTTCCGCCTAACTACTGAAGAATTCCATGGGTTTGTTCTCTGTTATAAAATGCCTTTTTAGCTTGTTACATTTAAAGAATTTGTAAAGTCCCAGCATATCCTCTCTTGTTATAACATCAGCGCTGTAATAGGAACACATACTAGAGTTGTTTTTATAATGCAATCAAAGCTTACTAGAAAAAAATCCCTTTTATGTAGTGAGCGCGGCCTTCTGTCTGCCCGTCACTTTCATCAACTTCCTAAATTCCCAGTGTACTTTGTGTCTCTTACCCTGATGCTTGATGTGATGCAATCTTAAAGGAGAACTATGGGGTTAGGGCTTTTCCCCATAGTTCTCCTTAGGATAACGGGAGGACACAAACTAGCGTCCTCCCGTCACCCTAAGCTCAGTATACCGCAAGCTACAGCTCGTGGGATACCGAGACGCCGCAGCCAGAGCGGATCCCGACAATTATGTCTGGCTCCGCCTAGCTGCGTGAGTGACAGCTGGCTCTGCCTATCTAGAGGCAGAGCCAGCTGTACCCGCCGCCTCCCCCGTCCGTTCTGCCAGTCAGCGCTGGAGGATCGGAGCGGGGAGGGGGGAATCCAGCCCCTCCACTGTCACGGCAGAGAGCTGTGAACGCCGGTATGTGTTCGCTCACCTCCCGATCTACTGAGCCGACCTGTGACAGTCTCATTGTCACAGGTCGGCTAGAACTATGAGGTGAGTGAAAAGCACTCATCTCATAGTTCTCCTTTAATTTCTCATGAATACATTTCCCATCATGCATTGCTTCCAGCAAGCAATGATAATATTACATTGAGTCAGGGCATTGAGGAAGTACATCCTATGGGCATCTTCAATAAGTACATTTACAGATCAGGAGTGGGATAGAACGTACAGAAATTCACTATAGAAATACAGATTTATTTTTAATTTTTGACCATAGATACAATAAAGTCTAATCCCCCCGCCCCTTCCGCCCATGCTGGTGTAAGGAGTAACCTTAAATGACGCCTCTTGATCCGATCATCATCTTCTTTCCAGTTGTTTTCAGAAGTCGACGTTTAAAGAGTGGCGTTCCTCTTTAATGCCTTTTATATCATTTGCCTCTCCTACTAGATTGTAAGCTCTTGTGCGCAGGGCCCTTCTAATCCTCCTGTATTGAATTGTACTGTAGCTGTACCGTCTCTCCCCATTTTATAACGCGCTGTGCAGACTGTTGGCGCTCTATAAATCCGGTATAACAATAATGCTGCAAAAAGAAGATGGTGAGCACTCACCTCTCCCGCTGCCTGTACCCATCACTGCTGATATGTTGTAGAGGAATCATCCACTGAAGGCTTGTCTTCATCAGCGTGAGCTCAGCCAGGCTAGTGCCAGCATAACAAACAATGGCACTACACTGGACACATTGGCCATTATTAATCAAAGCAAAACGCAACAACTTTTGTCAGCCAATCAGAAATCAATGCTTACACCTGAGTAGATTGAAGCTCAAAACTCCAAAACCCTCAACAACCAAAACCCCATGTTTGTAAATTGTGCCTGTTCACATATGAGCATAGGATCCGTAGCTCGATGCCTGAAGCTCAAGGATGTACATGAGCCACTTTGGAAGCAGAGCGGGGTGTACAATGGCTTTACAAACACCTGGAAATGCCTGACAGTATGTAGCATGTGCTATTTACATAGAAGGCTAAACAGCCATCTCCTGCTACCAGTACATAGCTTTCCATTGGCTAAGAACAAAAATCTCCTATAGCACACCTGCAGTCTCTGACCATCTCCTATACTACACTAATAGTCTCTGACCATCTTCTATACTATACTTATAGTCTCTGACCATCTCCTATACTATATTAGTAGTCTCTGACCATCTCCTATACTATACTTATAGTCTCTGCCTATCTCCTATACTATATTAGCAGTCTCTGACCATCTCCTATACTAATAGTCTCTGACCCTCTCCTATACTATACTAATAGTCTCTGACCATCTCCTATACTATATTAGTAGTCTCTGACAATCTCCTATACTATACTTATAGTCTCTGACCATCTCCTATACTATATTAGTAGTCTCTGACCATCTCCCATACTATACGAATAGTCTCTGGCCATCTCCTATACTATATTAGTAGACTCCGATCCATTTCCTATACTATATTAATAGTCTCTGACCATCTCCTATACCAGTGGTTCTCAACCTGTGTAACCTCAGGACCCACATTTGTCCTCGGTCACTAAGTTGCGACCCAAGTCACACTGCAATGGATGCACTGCATTGCAGTACCATGCTTTCTGATGTGATAGAACTGTGGCTGGGAGAGGCATTTGGTGTGCTACGCAAATGAATGGCAATGCAATGTACCTCCCACACCAGAACGTGCGATAGGTGTGATTGCGTGGCACGGTGCGTTAATTGCACGGGACCGTGCGATTAACGCACTGTACTAGTGTGAATGGGCCCTCAAAAACACTGACAGACGCACAACCACAGACACATTCCAAAAAAAAAGTAACTTTTTAAAATCCACCCAGTCTCTCTACCTTAGGAGAACTGGAGTGGATCCTCAGCCTGGGGTCCAGTGCGGGCTGCTGTGGTGTGATGGAGCTCCATCCATATGTGCATTGCTTGTACAGCTACCTTGCACACCCTGTAGAGCCAGAATGTGGCATCACTCCAGTCCAGGCACCTCTGCAGGACACACAAGGGAGCTGTAAGCAATGCATGTATGGATGGAGCTCCCTCGTGGCCATAACCTCATCCCATCCCACCTCAAGCTGACACTCGGCACCATGCAGTATATTTTGAATGGCTGCATGGCGTGAGAACTGACAGTGCTGCGCTAGGGGGAGGCTGAGGAGCCTCTCACCTGGAAAAGTGGAAGGCATGCGGCGACCCACTGAACATGAGGTTACAAACCACTTTTGGGTCAGGACCCACCAGTTGAGAACCAAGGTCCTATACTATATTAATAGTCTCTGACTATCTATGGCATAGCCGCAGTCTCTGTCCATTCTGTGGCAGGGTGAATGAACACAATCCCCACCTCGTCCAATCACATAAGGCCGAGTATTCTTGTATAAGAATACATGTTATGAATGGTGTGAGGCAGAGCGCGAGGGACCCGCCATGATCAGTGAACTGTACATCCCGGCGCTGGCACAAGAGGCGGCAGCAATAAAGAGATTTTTCCAGTAAGCAGAATAAGATGCTGGTCTTTGGAGGTAACATTTCAATCTAGATCTTAGTGACTGATTTTACATTCCCTTGTTATGGTACTGATGACAAGGCCTTACACAGCCGTCATTACTATTATAGGGTCATGTTCAATAAGTTTAGGGACAATTATGTCATTTATGTGATGTAACATAAAATAACTGTGTCAGCCAAGGTCAGGGCTCTTTGCACTAAGGACTTATCCAGTTTCATAACACTGGTCCCATTATGGCGATGAAGAACCAGGAAGTACAGGCAGCAAAGTCCTCCACCAGGACGTGTAGAATCTGCCAGACGGCCCCAGCAACAACATTGCGTCACATCCCTCCAATCAGCGGACAGCACATCCCCCCCTCCCCGAGCAAACGACTGGAATCTTCTAGAGAACTAAGCCGTCGTGTACGCCCCTCTGCCTGGTATCCATCCGCCGGTATTTTGTGAGGTAACCTATTTTCTATCGAAAAAAACACCTTGGTCACCCGTTAGTGTTTCTTTTATTCACCATTTGAGCGTGTAGGCTGATAGAGCTGGCTGGGTGAGCGGGACACGCCGAGACTCTTCTGGAATTACATGAGGCGCCCCGCCCTGCTCCGAGGGCGAGGGATTCTTTAGTGGCGCACGAGCACATGACTGGCGTGGTGTGATGAGTCACTCGGCTACGGTATAAATAGGGGGAGACAGAAAGCCGCCGACCATAGAGAAAGCGATACATACAAGGAGAGTGAATAGTTTCTGTGTAACTA